GAGGAGGAGGTGGGGGATGAGGAGGAGCAGGAACAGGAGCAGGAACAGGAGCAGGAGCAGGAGCAGGAGCAACATTATGAGCAGGAGCTGCAGCAGGAGGAGGAGCAGCAGGAGCAGGAGCAGGAGGATGAGGGGGAGGGGGAGGGGGAGGAGGGGGAGGAGGAGGAGGAGGCGGAGGAGGAGGAGGAGGAGGAGGAGGAGGAGGAGGAAGAGGAGGAGGAGGAGGAGAAGGAGAAGAAGGAGGAAGAGGGGCAGGAGGAGGAGGAGGAGCAGGAGGAGGAGGGGCAGGAGGAGGACCAGTGATAACCTTAGAGTCACCAACGATGTTGGAATTCACAGTCCCTCCAAACACCTTTTTTTGTTACAGGCCCCTACAACGGTTCATTACCTTTGAGGGAAGTGCCTCGCTGAGAGACAACAGTTTGAAGATCTTGACGAATGCCAAAACATGGTTCCCGGGATTTCAACGCCACGTATCAACTCGACTGCTACGTCTTGGCGACGCAGAATCGTGCCAGAATGCCATGTTCGAAACTTCGACACAGCGAATCAACATAAATGTTGCGCCCGCATAATCTTGATTCCCTCCAGGACATCATCCCTGGTACGTGGATCATGGGAGTCCATGGAGCTCCTGCATAAAAACGAATGCTCACGGTGCTAAGGCGAGAGCAACATTAAAAACAAAAAGGAATTGCCCTCAATCCGTGAAGCTCTTGCAAATGTGTCAAGACGAATGTGCGCGGCGCTCAGGCGAGCGCCACAGTTTGCCTCAATCGAGGAGGAGGGGGAGGAGGAGGAAGAGGAGGAGGAGCAGGAGGAGGAGGAGGAGGAGGAGGCGGAGGCGGAGGAGGAAGAGGAGGAGGAACAGGAGGAGCAGGAGGAGGAGAGGGGGAACCTGGGGATGAGGAGACGGCTTCTTGGGGCCTCCTTGGGGCCCCTGGGGGACTTCCTGAACGTTGCTCGGGGGCCTCTTGGGTGCCTTATGGGTCACGGCCGTCTTTGGGCCCTCGTGGGAGCTCCTTGGGCGATATCTGGGCTCTGTTGGGCCGATCTGAGGCCCTCTCGGGGTCTCTTGGGCTGCTTTGGAGCTACCTTGCAGGCCGCTTGTAGGCCTCCTGGGCCGTCTTTTTGGGCAGTCGGACACCCGAACATGCGAGAACCGCAACATCTTCAAAACCCGTACGCGGAGTCATTGGAGTTGGCCGCCTCGGGATCTCCAGGACGGCATCTTGGAGCCCTCTTCGGCAGTCTTGCGGGCTTCGTGATCTGTCTTGGGGTTGCTTTGGGGGCCGTTTGAGTTGTGTCGTGGACCATCTTAGTGTCATCTCGGTTGTTTTGGAAGCCGTTTTGGAGGCCATGCGGCTTCCAAGACGGCCTCAATAATCATCAAGAGGCCCCAACGACGGCCCAAGAGGTTCACAAAAGGCCTTCCAGGATAACCCAAGGGGACCAGACCCATTGATGTTCCTAAGGTGTTTGAGTGGTTCTCAGGTTCTGGCATGTTTGGGCTTCCGACCGCCCATGACAGTCCAAAGAGCTTCTCTTGACAGTAGCCTTGCTTTCTTGGAGCGCTCCATGGCCGTATTGGGGCCCTCTTGAGGGCCCCTTGGGCGACCTCTGGGCTTTGTTGCACCGACCTGAGGCTCTCTCGCGGTCTCTTTGGCTGTCTTGGAGCTACCTTGCAGGCCCTTGGGTGGCCTCTTGGGCCGTCTTGGGCGGTCGGACACCCAAACAGGCGAGAACTTTCAATGTTGCCCAGCAATCTAAAGGACATCCATGGCGTTGCCCCCCCTCGCGCTGTCCAGGAAGGTCCCGTGGGGCGTCGGCCGTCCTGGAGGCTTCTTGGGCCGTCCTAGGGCCCTCTCGGGGGCTTCTTAAGCCGTCGTGAGAGGCGTTTGAGCTCTCGTGGGCCATCTGGGGCAGTTTCGTTCTCGTCACGGTTGTGTTGGACGCCGTTTGGGAGGCCATCTTGGCCGCATGGAGGCCGAACAGACAGATCAAGCGCTTTCAGCGGGTGCCGTTTCCGAACCACGCGCGCTGTTCAAGGCGGGGGGGGGCGCGGCCCTAGGCAATTTTAGGCATGGCAGCTCCTAAGCACAAGACGCGCCTTCTAGCACGCCCGCTCCGTGCAGACACGGTGGCGGATAGTGCACCTCGTAGAGGGCATTGCGCAGTATGCACCGCATGCATTGCATTGAATAAGTTGCACCACGCAGGTTCACTGCTTATAGTGGTCCAGAGATGACGCACCTCATAGTTTGCACCATATTTGCTGCACCCCATCGATACCCCTTCCTATAAAGAGTTTACGATCCCCCTTCCCCCGCCCGCGGGTGTATCGCCCCCCCCCCCCCCTGGCAGACCGTAAGTTTCACACCACGGTTCTGCCCCATCGTTCACTTTAAATATGTATCCATCGTATCCCAAGGGTGGCCTTTTTTTATCGCTCCCACCGCACCCTTGTCATAGAAGGCTATACGCGCTTTCGCTTATAACAAATCATAGTGTTCAAGACTGGTTTAAACGAAATGCGACAACGTCGGCACGCGCGCGTCGTCGCGCGCGGATGCCAAACTTGCTGAGGTTTCGTGAGGATTGCAAGGCCGACGTTCCCGAAACCATATACGACCCCATTGTGGCTGCAGCATGGTGTTACAAGAACGTCTGCGCGCGCGATCTTGCGAGTTCTTGCGCACATCGTATTTTTTTTTTTGCGAATTTTCATGACATGAGGCAGTGCGGTCCTTTCGCGCGTGCATGTCGAAATCATCGGACCGCCCTTGCCCGCTTGTCGGAGTGCACGGTCCCTGTCAGACAATATACCATGCGGGTCACACGCGCCCGTCAGCCCCGTGCGCATGTCGAAATCCAGCCGAAAGCCTCACCACCGTCACGTGGACACCATCGTTTTAATTGGCGTGATCCGCATCGGCGCCGTCATTGGTCTTGCCGCCGTCATCTTCATCATCGACACCAGCATCGCTACCATCATGATCGTGTCCGACGTTGCCGACGGCGCCATGAAACCGCGCCCGCCCAAGTCACCGACTCGCACTGAATTGCCTGTGCCTCGGCGCGGCCTGCGAGACGCGCTGGGAAGTCCCCTGCGGTCAGCGCGGCCACGTCGGTCGCGCCAAACTAGCTGGCCGCTCTGCGCACGCGCTTGCACGCGCTAGCGCGGCCGCAACGATGCGCCAGCCAACGCCACGCAGTCATCGCAATGGCCGCCGCACGGGTTTTGCAAACCAAGCTCCGGGGATGATTGCGCGAGCAGTGGAGTTGACAGCTCAGTGCGGGAAGAAATTCGCTACACGACATAGATTGCACCAGATAGGCGGCACCACGTAGATAGTTCCACATATGTCGCGCCGCATAGAATGCACTATATATTTTGCACCACCTAAATTCTCCGATCGCAGAAGGGAGTAGATTATACCCCCCCCCGGGTTATCGCTCCACCTTTCCGTGGTGCAATTTACATACGATTCAGCCCCATCGTCCATACGAAGTATGAACGGATACCATCCCATCCGAGACGGTATCGACCCCCCCCCGCCATCCGCTGCAAACGACTTTGCGCGCGCGCACTCGCCTATCAAGGAAGCATCAGTGTCCAATGATCATTTGCACACTGTTAGACGAAATGCGCACGCGCGCGTCGTCGCGCGCGCATGCCGGAATCCTTACAAGAACCGTTGGTTTTGGGAGGATGTCAAAAGCGAGTGCCCAACAACACATATAAAAAACAAAGGGTTTCGCAACACTGCTTTTCAGACAGCAGCGTGCGCGCTTTTGCATATTTTGACAAAGCCATACGTTTATTTCACCATGTTCAGAAACTGCTACAAAACGGGCTCCGCGCGCGCATGTCAAAATCGTTCGGATGCCCTTGCTCGCGCGCCGTCGCGAAAATTCTCTGCAACAGATGAGACGAAGTTCGCGCGCTCGCGTTGTCGCGCGCGCGCGGGCCGAAATCCTTGAACAAAAAAAATTCGGCTGCGTAGCGATTCCGAAACCGAGTTTCCACAACACGTTCAAAAAACATAATGTTTCGCAACATCAGTTTTCAAACGAAACCCTGCGCGCGTGCTCTTGGGAATTCCCAGGACAGCCGTAGACAACTTCATGGCACTCTGCCAAACTGGCCTCTTGGCGCCGCATGCCGACATCATTCGCACGCCCTTGCGCGCGTGCTGGGGGGCACGATCCGTGTCAATTCACCATGCGGGCCACTCGCGCGTCGGCCGCGCGCGCATGTCGAACTCTGTCCAAAACCTTCATCGCCGACGCGAGGACGCCGTCATCGTCGTCGGCGTGATCAGCGTCGGCGCCCGCCATGGCCGCGCCCTCGTCGGTACGAACATCGCCACCAGCATCGCTAGTATCATCCTCGCGTCTGCCTTAGTCGGCGTTGCCATGATACCGCGCCCGCCCAAGTCGACGACTCGCTGGGACGCGCCCGCCGGTCAGCGCCACCGCGGCCGCGTCGGTCGCGCCAGATTGGTTGGCCGCTGCGCGCGCGTGCTAGGGTTGGCGCGGCCGCAGAGATGCACCAGCCAACGCCAAGCATGCAACGCAATCGCCACCGCGTGGGTTTTGTGGACCAAGTTGCAGGTGGATGGGTGAGATGTTTGCAAGAGTATGGGAGGTGTCAAATCATGTGTAACAAACCAATTGCATCACACAGACTGCGCCGCCTCTGGTGCTTTACATAGTACGCTACAACACACCGTTTGGGGCCCACGCAACCGGACATACCATTTTTCGTAAACGACATAGCGGCCGGAGCCCACCCGCTAGCATTACGTTTGTTGTTGTCCAGCCCTGTCGCCCCGACAGGTCTAATTCGCACACATGGCAATTTCCATCGCGATTACAAACATGCCCAGCTCAATCGATGTTCGTGTTTAGTTAGGAATGGAGCCAAGTCCATACCAACAGGTAGCAGTACATCGGCGCAGGGACAAACCGCTGGATGAAAACAAAGCCGCTTGCAGGAGTTCTGCGAACAAGCAGAAAAGAAAGGCGTAGTGACCAACGTGGTTCCGACGCCTTCGTCTCCGCCCACCCCGCCGCCCACACCTTCGCCGCCCCCGCCTCCGCCCCCGCCTCCGCCCCCGCCTCCGCCTCCGCCCCCGCCCCCGCCTCCGCCCCCGCCTCCGCCCCCGCCTCCGCCCCCGCCTCCGCCCCCGCCCCCGCCCCCCCCGCCCCCGCCTCCGCCCCCCTCCGCCCCCCCCTGCGCCCACGCCGCCGCCGCCGCCCCCGCCTCCGCCGCCGCCTCCCGCGCCACCGCCCGCCTCGCCCCCGCTTCTACCGACTACAACGGCGCCGCCGACGACCACTGTCGACGAGGTGGGGGACCTGGACGACTTTGGTGCAGGAATCGTCCCTGCCACCATCCCGGAGGACTTCGAGATCGACCCCCCGACGGACTCCGAGGATGCCGGGGCGGAAGTGGGGAGGAGGCGAAGGAGGAGAGAACGCACAGAGAGATCGAAGGCCCGGGGGGGGGGGAGAAGAGGGGAGGTGAGGAAGAGTGGAGAGGGAGGAGAGGGGGAGGAGGAGAAGGGAGGGGGCGGGGGGCGGGGGGGCCGCGAGTGGTAAGGCTTCGGGCTGAGGCGCACCGATGCACAGACAACCCGCCCCCCCGCCCCTAGCCCCGGCTGGTCTCAGCAGGCCTCGTGGGAGCCCTGTCTGGTCTCAACAGGCCCAGTTTGGGGGTTTGGTGAGGCCATCTGGGACTAGCTCGGAGGCGCAATCTAAGCGCAGCCCGAAGCGTTGATTACCAGTTGGGAGGGGGGTGGGCGATGGGAGGAGAAAGAGGGAGAAGATTGAAACTCAAGGAGAGGGGATGCCAGGAGGGGAATGGGGTGGGGTAGTGAAGGTCTCCGGCGGTCTACCAGAGTTTGCTGGGGAGAGCAAAAGGCCCCAGAAAAGGACCAGACACGCCGACAACAGAAGACATAACTGTCTCCGTAGGCAGGTGCCCTCTGTCCATGGAGGTACCCAGAGGTTTCTGGAGGCTCATCGACAAATTAGAGACCGACAAAACAAAGAGAAAATCATGTCCAGGAGGAGGAGGAGGAGGAGGAGGAGAGCCCGAGTGAAATTCAGAGGCCCAGGAAAGGCCAGGAGCGTTCCAAAACGACCGCACGGTAAAAAAACAGGGAGAAGAGGAGGAGGTTCTCCCCTCGTGCGTCTCTCCCCCCTTCCTCGACTGCCGCGGGGCTGCGAGGGGCGGGCAATGTGTTGACGGCCTCCTCTGGGCCCCGCCTCGTCACCCCCAGTCAGCACGCGCTCTTTTGGACAGCTCCAGGGCTCGAGCCCGACGGAGCAGAGCGAGGGAAGGGCAGATCCTCACCCGGCAGGCTGCGGCCTTTGAAAGGGGACCCTGCTCCTCCTCCTCCTCCTCCTCCTCCCTCCTCCTCCTCCTCCTCCTCCCTCCTCCTCCTCCTCCTCCTCCTCCTCCCTCCTCCTCCCTCCTCTTCCCCCTCCTCCCCCTCCTCCCGCAGAGTCGGAAAGATGTAGGGAACCGCCGCTTTTGCCGGCCCTGCACTGAGATTTGCACAGGAAAGCGGTGGTGGTGGACCCTGCAGAGAAAAAAAGAAGTCCCGAGCCGAGCAGCTCTGCCACGACGCCGATGACGACGCCGATGCCGCCGCCGCCGCCGACGGCGGCGACGACGGCGGCGGAGACGAGGCGCGCGAACGACTCGCACGCAGGGGCGGATTCGGGAGAGGGCCAATCCTGCGAGGTGGGTGATCTTCGCAGGTGGATCGAGCTCCTGCCCGGACACGCCGATTGAGGAATTGGCAGTGTTCGGGCGTCGCGGCCGTCATCTTTCGCGGGTCCAGGTCCGTCGGTCTCGGTCCCCAGGCCGTTTTCACTAAGGGGAGATACAGTCGGGGCCCGGAAGAAGGAACCCTTTTCGTTGGGGAGGGGCTCCGCGTTCCTGAAGTGTTTCACAGCTTGCCTCAGGTTTTCCTTATGTTTTCGATCGCAAATCGAAGGTTCACTTATGGAAAAAAGGGGCCTCGTTCCTTATTTAGGGTTCCTTAGGTCAACGCCCCGACTGTATACTAAAGGGAGGGGTGCCCACCGCCGAGATATGACCCTTGACCCCCGCCGTCCGAGCCCTCCGCGCAGCAGCTGCCGCCTCGGCGCTGCCGTGGCGACCGACGAGGCTTGAGTCGGGGCACGTCCCTCCACAGGAGGAACATTCAAAATAGGGAGAAACCAAACAAAAGCCTGGGGATGATGTCATTTAGTATTTTGGATCATGTTGGTTCATTTGGGGGGTATTTGTTACTTGTCGCCCAAGATCCGCCTGCAGGAGGACATGCCCGACCTAAGACGAGGCGGCCGCTACGCCCTCGACGGCGGCCGCCACTGCGGCCGCGCTGGCGGCGGCCGCATCTGTCTCCCGGAAGCTACGGGAGGCGGAGATCGAGGGGAGGGGGAGCAAGGAAGAGGAGGAGGAGGAGGAGGAGGAGGCGGAGGAGGAGGAGGAGGAGGAGGAGGAGGAAGAAGAGGAGGAGGAGGAGGCGGAGGAGGAGGAGGAGGGGAAGGAGGGGGAGGATGGGGAGCAGGAGAGAGGAAGCGGCCGCCGGCGGCGCCCCTGGGACGGCAGAGGCACGAGGTGAACCCCGCGGTGGCCTCGGCGGAGGGCCATGCCGGCCTCCTGCAGCGCGCCGCCGCGCGCGGGGGCACCCGCAGGACGGCGACAGGGACGGCGACGGCATCCCCGACGACCAGGACGGCGGCGCCGGTCGGGCGTTGCGTAATGCTGATGAAGTGGGGCAGGTCCCTCTAGAGGAGGAGGAATAGTCAAGAGTAGTCAAAGCATGGTCTGGGGACGATGGTTCGAATCTTTCTGGGGCTGTTTTCGCATTTGTTTGTCTGTTTGATTTGTCGCTCAACATTCGCACGTAGGGGGACATGCCCAACCTAACCGTAATGCGTCAAGCAGTGGCGAGGCGTCCTGTCCTGGCTCGCCCATGGGCCCACCAAGGAGTGTTCCAACAACCCTGTGTGGTCTGCACGAAGAATGTGTTTAGAACATGTCTGGCTGAGACTGCCTTGTGTTCACACGTCGGGCTGATGTTCCAAGAACGCTGTTCTTGTTCTTAGAGCATCGTCGGGTTCTAAGAACATGTCGCTCGCAGTAGTAGGCCTATCGGCATGCCGGGACGGTCGGTCCTTGCTCAAAAGGGGGGGGGCGTCAGGTGGGCGGAAGAGAAAGGACGGCTCTTGCTCCTTACAGGAAATCTACAGGGGCCCAACTGGGGCCCAACACGGGCACGCCAGGTGCTCGCTTCTTCGCCCCCCCAGTTGTCCCCCCCCCCATCAAGCAACGCCAAACGCCAGCCGCCGCCGCCGCCGGACGTCTTCGCTCGCCGCTCGCCCGCCGCCGCCAGTGGGTGCCTCTTGTGTTCCCTCTCTTGGGCCCCTTTGTAGGAGGCCGTCTTGGGCGACTCTCGGACCGTCTCGGGGCGCCATGGAGCAGTCTTGGGGCCCTCTTGGCAGCCTCTTGGGCAGTTTTGGGGTAGTCTTGGGTACCCTTTACGCCGTCTTGGAGCGCCGGAAATCCGAAGAGGCGAGAACGGACAAATCCTTCAAACACCTCCGGAATGATGTTTGCCCCTTGAGGCCCTCCTGGGAGGCCCCCAGGGGGCCCTTGGGGCGTCTTGGAGGCCTCTCGGGCCATCTTGAGGCAATGTTGGGCGTCGTGGGCCGATCTGGGGGCGTCTCGGGGCCGTCTTGGGGGTCTAGCGGGGCCCTCTTGGCCCGTCTTGGGGCCCTTTTGGGCCCGAAGAGTATGCATGCGACGCCACTTCCTGGAGAACCCAGAGGGGCACGCGGGAAGCCCCAGGAAATTTTAAGAATTTGGGGCCCAGGCCCTTTTAAAAGCTCCAGGGATTCGGCCAAGGACTTGAGGACACGCCCACTCCGTGCCCAGAGGCACGGTGGCGGACCCGTTGGTTGCCCCAGCGACGGCAGTTGTTTTTACAGGCTCCGTGTTGCCGTAGGTTCTGGCGTTGTGTGGCTCCCAGTTCCGTCGCCGTTACCTTGTCTGGTGATTGCTTCGGTTCCAATACAGGAGCCGTTTTTCTGCCCCGCGTCTGAGGGCAGTTATTGTTTTCTCATGCTCATGTTCCAGGAACGTTTTTTGTCGAAAGCGGCGAACATTAACTACGACGGTAGGACCCCGCATCGAAAATCTGGTAGTGCCCCTCGTCGTTGTCTTCATGATTGGTGAGGCGTCAATGCTGTCTCCTCTGCATCATTATCCTTTTTCGCCCTGGCGCAGGCCCTCCCGCTTCCTACGTTGCCCCTTCCCCGCCCTCCTGTTTTCCTTCACCTCCAGCCACCTTCTCCTCTCTCTATTGCAAGAGCGCGCGTGTTGATTTTCCTCGGCGCCGTCGCCGCCTCGGCCAGCACGGGCGCATTCTGGAATAGCCACATCGCGCAGCCGTTGGGGCAATCCCGCGGGCAAGGCCGTTGGGACAACCACGCGAGGTGCTGGGGCGCGGGAGCAAAACGTTGGGACAACCCCGCAGGTGCCGATCTAGCGCCGGCCGCGCTCCGGCGGGAGGCAGCACGAAACCCAGCTCAGCCGCGAGCTGCTCTGCCTTTTGCCCTGGGGTTCTCCGCTGTCGTGCCGCACTGCCCGAGCGCCCTCCGCACGGACGCCGGCGGCCCGCTCTCTCGGAACTCCCGTGGGGAGGGCCGCGTGACCAGCATCTTCCGCACGCACGTGGCGCGGGGGGGAAAACATAAACGCAGAGATGCAGCAGTCCTCCCCCCCAGATGGGTCGAGCGAGTGGCCCCCTACAGAGCCGAATGAACCTCGCTCGGATGCCGCTGCGCCCCAGTGGATCCGATGGCCCGCTCGGATCCCAGTGAGCGTTTAGACGTGGAGGAAGGAAGAGAGAAAGAGAGAGAGAGATATATATATATATATATAAATATTTGTGTGTATATATATATATTTATATATGTATAGAGAGAGAGAAGGAGAGAGAGAGAAACAAAAAACATGATGATTAGGAAAAGGAGGAGAAGGAGGAGAAGGGGGTAAGAGGAAAAGGGAGAACAGGAAGAGGAGGAGGAGGGGGAGGAGGAGGAGGAGGCGTTGGAGGATCCCCCTCGTCGGAGCTATTAGAGAGCCAAGATTTTGCGAAGATTTCGTCCACGGGCTTCTCTTCATCGGGGGTATTCCTTTCCTCTTTTCCTCACTCCCCTGTTTTTCTCGTCCCCTCCCTTTGTTACCCCGCCCCTTCCGTCCCCCCGGGGAGCTCCCCCGGTCGAGAAGTCCCCGACCCGTTTTCCCCCATATTCGCGCCGGAGGAGCCCGGTCGGATTCCAGGTTGCAGGTTTGCCTGCGGCACGTTCCGAATGCAACATGGAATTGGGGTTCCTAGAAAGAGGCGGTTCCCGTTCGACTCTTCTTCGTAGTTCATTCAAAGACGAGGCTCCCGCTTGAGATTCCCTTCGTATATACGCAGGCCTGCGGAACCCGAAAGTGACGACGGTTACGAGTTTCCGATGACCCGTTCGGATTTATAACACGAAGTGCGGGCTCCCGCTTGAGATTTTTCAGAATTTGCTCACAGACGAGGTTCCCGCCTCAAACGTCCTGAAGATTCAGGTCAAAGGAGCCCAGAACTGACGACGGTTTCAGGATTCCGATGGCCCGTTCGGATTAAACATATGAGGCGTGGGACACATAGGCAGGGATCTCCCGCGTGTGACATCTGAACAAGTCACTCACGGACGAGGCTCCCGCTCGAGACTTCTTTCATATTTACGCCGAAAAAACCAACATGCTACGACGCTGACAGGATTGCGATGAACCGGTCGGATCATTTATATATATATATATATAAAAACGTGAGGTGCGGGACCCATACGGGGAGGGTTCCCGCCTGAGACTTCCCCGCACTTCACTCACAGACGAGGCTCCCCCCGATATGTGCTCAAGTGCGGGAATGACTGATTGAGTAAGTGAGTGGGTGAGCCAAAGAATAAGTGAATGGGTAAGTGCGTGACGATGACGATGGTGATGATGATGCTGACAGTGGCGCGTAAAAGCAACAAGTGCCCCCCTTGTAGGGCGTGGGGGGGGAAACGTCCCTGCCGTTCCCGGGGGGGCCTTCCCAAGGCGAGCCTCACGGGGGCGGCGTGGCGGCGTGGGCCACACGCAGCGCGGCCCGTGGGCGAACACACATGCCCGCACCCGCTGCGTCGCGGGCCGGGCCGGTTGGCCGCGACCTCCGCGGATACGGGCCGCTTTCTTCTCCTCCTCCTCCCCCTCCTCCTCCCCCTCCTCCTCCTCCCCGTCCTCCTCGTCCTCCTCCTCCTCCTCCTTTTCCTCCTCCTCCTCCTCCTCCTCCCCCTCCTCCTCCTCCTCCCCCTCATCCTCCTTCTGCTCCTCGTCTTCCTTCTCCTCCTCCTCCTCCTCCTCCTCCTCCTCCTCCTCCTCCGCCTTCGTGGGTGCTCCGCGCGGAACGTATCTGTGCGACCGCGCTGCCGCGGCATCGCGCCAGGGAGACCAGACCGCGAGGGCGCGCGGAGGAGTGCGTCCGCCGCTCGCGACGAGCACCGTCTACAACGCAGCGCCGACGAGGGACGAGCACGACGACGACGACGAGCACGACGACGGCGACGACGACGAGCACGACGAGCACGACGGCGGCGGCGGCGGCCGCGGCGACGACGACGGGCGTGTCCGCCGCTCGTAGGCCTCGCGGCGCGCCCGCGGCGGCGGCGCCCCGCGGCGCGCCGCTCCCCGGGGGCCATGCGGCGCCTGGCGGCGGCGGCGCGCCTGGCAGGGCCGCGCACGGGGCGCGCGGCGCGGCGCCGCCTCGCGCCCGCCTCGGGGGCGACATCCTCCTCCTGCTCGTCCTCCTCCTTCAACTCCTCCTCCTCCTCCTCCTCCTGCTCCACCTCCTCCTCCGCCTCCTCTTCCTCCTCCTCCTGCTCCTCCTCCTCCTCCTCCTGCTCCTCCTGCTCCTCCTCCTCCTCCTCCTCTTCCTCCTCCTCCAGCTCCTCCAACTTCGGGGGTGGGCAGGGCTCATTTCGATTCCTCCTATTCGATTCGACTCGATGTCAATGGCTTTCGATGCCGATTCGATTCGACTCTTGGGATTCCGATTTGGGTTCCGAGTTCCTTTTGGGGGCACACTAGCCTGCCGATTCCCGCCGAGTCGACTTTTCCCGACCCGGCTGCCGATTTGCGACGAGATCCGATGCATTTCGATCGTCGATCCGACTTATCGATTCGATTATGTGCCCTTCTTGAGGGAGGCGGCGTGATCCAGACGAGGGCGTCAGTGGTACGGGCAAGATGTTGATATATGTCCATTGCTCTAGGCCTCCTTGTGATGGTGTCGGAGTAGATGGGGTCGGAGGATGACGCCGCATCGTCGATGCATCGGCGATGCGGCTCGATGTGGAGCTCGATTTTCTCCACGCTGACGGCGCCGACGCGTCGCCGACGTCGCCGATGCATCGTCGATGCATCGTCGATGTATCGGTGATGATTCGGCGATGCGGCGCGATCCTCGGTTCCCATCTAGGAGGCTTCTAATTTCAGGCGATCGCAAACATGGATCAATGGGGCGTGGATAAGCGACGGGTCCCGTTTCCACGGGTCATCGCGGATCTTCGCCGCCGAACGAGGCGGCACCAGCCGCATTCTGGGGGAAGGCACCTCCCTCGATCCATGTTTGTGCGCCCCCGATACTTGCGTCTTGGAGTTCCGGGCCCCCTTCCCCAGGATCCCGAAGCGCACTGGAGATGGGTAGATGTCCAGCCCATCGAGGCCGGATGCTTCTCCCTACCCGCCGCGCCTCGGCCTCTGGGCGCGCCCCTTCCCAGAGAGTCGAAGACGCCGTGGATGTGAACAATCTTCCAGGGCATCCGTGGGGATCGATAGGGGGACGAAGTTCGAGCTTCGAGGCTTCGGGACGTGTTCGCTGATTCTCGGCGTCGGGCCGGCCGGCCGCTGAAACGTTGGACCGACGACGTCATCAGCAGTTAAGAGGTTGGGATTGAGAGAACGTGTGAGAAGCAGCCTTCTGGCAGCCCGAGCAGGGCGCGCTCCGGCGCACGCCGGCCGGCCTTCGACCTTCGACCTTCGACCTTCGCTGAGTCTCGGCGGCTTTCCAGCCCCCGGGAGGCCTTCCAGCGACTGCGCCTCGCCGAGGGCGTTCCGCGGGGCTTCCCGGGCCGTGCCGAGCGGCAGGCGGAGGCCCGAGATTTTGACCAAAATAACGCCACGGGGATGGCTGAAGAGGGGGGGGAAAGCCTCGACCGGGAGTCGGCGATGCAGTCGGGGCCCTGAAGCAGGAACCCTCCTCGTTGGGGAGGGGCTCCGCGTTCCTGAAGTGTGTCGCAGCTTGCCTCAGGTGTTCCTTAGGTTTTCGATCGGCCATCGAAGCTTAACTTACCATGGAAAAAGGGGGGCCTCGTTCCTGGTTTAGGGTTCCTTAGGAGGTCAACGCCCCGACTGTACGTCGTCACCGAGGGGTGGACGGTGGGCCCCCGATGGCGGATATCCGCACGCTCCTTCCTGGTCGGGGCGGGCCATGGGGCCCCCATATCGGCGAGGATGGGGCGAGTGGGGGTCCACGCTGTCCCCCCTACTGGAGGATGACGATTGATTACTCCAGATTTCGTAATATAAAGGGAGGGGGTCTGGATCCTCCAAGACAAGCCATTTCAGACCTCCCCCGTGGGAGAATCCTCCAAAGCATCGTCCCCAGACCCCCCAGGCCCTCCAAGATAGCCTGGAAGAGACCCCCCCCCGAAATGAGACCCCCCTCCCTTTATTGCGAAATCTGGAGTAGTAAATGACTGGGGGTCGTGTTCACGCGGCGGCGCCCGGGATGACGATTCGAAGAAACCGGCCGCGGGCTGGAAAGCTATGTTTGTTTAAGCGTTCTCCTCCAGTCAGAGAGCTGTGCAGAAATAGCAGACAACTATTTGTTGAATCGTTCTCCCTCCTCATTTTTTATGAATTGCCACCCCGCATTAAGCCAGACCGCTTGCCCGATGGAACAGATCATGCAGTGGAGACCCATGCCAAGAAACACCCTGCTTGCTTCCAGGGTGCCCTGGGCTTTGTGCCTGTATAAAAAACAATGGACGTCCTGGGTTCTCAGGGTTGGGTTTCTTGTGGAAGGTTCCTTGTTGTCGAGCCCCTACTGTATCGTCGGAGATCGGGGGTGCTCTCTCCCCATACTATCCTGGGTTGCTTCCTGCCCAGAATGTCGAGGCGGATCCAGCCGTGGCCGCCAGGGCGCCAGAGGACGACCAGAAACCTCTAGGAAGCGAGCCCCGATCTTCGAACCTCGAACCTCTGACCCTAACTACTTACCCTGAAGTTAGGCAAGTCTTTCTGCAGGAGGAATAGAATTATGATCGCTCAAGAAGAATAGTTTGGGGACGATTTTTCGATCATTTTGATTATATGGTTTGATTCTGTGTGTTGCTCACAAGTCTACCAACCTCCGCCTGTACGAGGTCATGCCCGACCTAAAACTTCTCCCCCTGAGCCAGCCGCCCACCTGCCTCTGCCCCTGACCGCTGCGCCGCTCCCAGACCGCCGACGTCGTGGCTGGTTTCATGCAGTGGACCCCCAGAGGTCCGGACCCCTACCCGTTCGGCACGTCCCCCCGTGTCATCGGTGTTCACTGGGCGTCTTGCGGTCGTCGTCTGGCGCTCGATGAGGTGTCTTGGGATTGAGGGGTGCGCCCTGTGGAGCTCAAAATAGTTCAGGCACCAGCTTATGTTGTTCATCCCGAGCCGTGCTCCGAGGATCCCGAGGCTCGGCAGCGGCTTCCGGAGGCCGAAGACAGCGAGGCACAGCTCGTCGTGGTCTCAGCTGCCCTGCTGCGCCCGTGCTGAAACGCAGCGCGTACCGTGTTCAAGGCGTCCGTGTTGACACCTTGCGGGGTGGTTCGGCACGCATTGGTCCACGCTTTGGCGAAGGTATCGCAGAAGACCTACGTTGTCAGTCTACGTCCTGAGCTCCGTGTCGCCACGCTGCGTGTTTTCGTGCCTTCGATGCTCGATCATGGGCCCCTCGTTGACAGCAGCTGCCCCACTATCGGGAAGCCGCGGGAAAACCGACGGGCGGCGCAGGAAACCGCGGGAGCGCGCCGCGGGAAACCGCGGGACGCCGACGAAGACCGCGGACCACCGTCGGAAGACCTCGGGACACGAGCCGAAGCTCGCCGAGGGCCGCAGACGACCGCCCGGGGCCCAGGACGGCCCGGGAGCGGTGGGGCGACGAGGGATCCATGGCCGCACGCGCGGCGCTTTCTGAGGGGCCCAAACTTGAAGCCCGTGGGACGCGCCCCACCATACCGATCTCAAAACGACTGCGACGATACCGATGAGACGACGATCTCAAAACAATTTCAAAACGACGACGACGATACGATCTCAAAGCGACGACGACGACGCTCTCGGAACGACGACGACGACTTGACCCCGAGACATACTGATCTCAGAGCGACGACGACGACACCGATGAGAGCCGAGAGCCTTCGAGAACCCTTCGAGAGCCCTCGAGACGGGGTCCAAGAAGCCTTCGAGGCGCCCCGGGACAGCCCCCGAGAGCCCTCGAGACGGGGTCTGGGCTCGGCGCCGCCCCGCGCGCCGAGCGCGGCGTGTGCGGCCGGCCGCCGGGCGCGGCGGCGGCCACGCCGGCGGCGCGGGCGCGCGCGGCGCGGGGCCTGCGCCGCGGCCTGGCGTCGAGCGCGGCGGGCGCGGTGGGCGCGAGGCGAGGCTCCTCCGCCTCCTCCTCCTCCTCCTCCTCTTCCTCCTCCTCTTCCTCCTCCTCTTCCTCTTCCTCCTCCTCTTCCTCCTCCTTCTCCTCCTCCGCTTCGCTCCTCCCTCCTCCTCCTCCTCGCTCCTCTTCCTCTTCGCTCCTCGTCCTCCTCGTTCCTCTTATTCCTCCTCCTACTCGTCCCCGTTCATCCTCCCCATCCTCCTCATCATCATGACCATGATCATCATCATCATCATCATCATCATCATCATCATCATCATCATCGTCATCATCATCATCATCATCGTTCTTCCTTTTGTCCCCACTTTTGTTCCTAGCCGTTTCCAGGTTTCGATTCGGTTGTAATTGTTTTGGTCCGTGCACTTGGAATTGGCGAAGCTGGCCAGAGCTTTCCTACATGTAAGCTGCCCATGGCAAGTGGCCGTGATGGTGCAGGAGGAAGACAATGTCAGACATGAATATCTCAGGAGTCCTGATGTCCGCCTGCCACGCGCATGTGGCGCAGCAGTTGTTGTGGTTGTGTGTGTGTGTTGTGTGTGTGTGTGTTGTGTCTGTGTGTGTGTGTGGCCGAGCAGGTCCGTCTCGCGCCTAGAACGCTCATCGCCGCCCAGAAGAGGCCTTTTCCTTCCTGGCTGCAAAGGCGTTGGGCAGGGGGGCCGCCGCCGAGGAATGGAGGACGTGTCGGTAAAAAGGGGCACCCGCGGCGTCATAGACGGGGACGGGGGCGAAAGGAAGGAGCAGGCGCCGAAGCCTTCAGACAACACACTGGAATGCCCAAGTATTCCGGGCCTTCGAAAAGAAATCTGGCAAATCAATAGATGAGGCGGCGGCTTCGCGGAGACAGGAGTCGGAACTGTCGCCGAAGAAGATACACCGCAGGCGGTCGTCCTCAGCACCAAGTCTTTCCTAGACCTTTTGGGGCGAGAGAGAGCAAAAAACATTAGACATACCGAAACAAACGAGGGAATATTCAGTGAGGCCGAGGCAGCTTTTGAGGAGAAACACGCAGAAGAGTGCAAGTCCCAGCCTGCTACCCCTGCAGAGAACGTCAGAAGACTGGATCGGCCCTCGCTGCAATTCAGGCTTACGCGACGCACGGGTTGGAGTTGTTGGAGAATGTCAGCAATATGTCGAATGCAGCGGGTACCCATTTCGGCATGGACGCGTCGACTCTTTCCATGGCGGCGACCACGAAACTCCCGGAGGAGAAGCATAAGGCGGCCGCTACCAAGGAGCCCCCTCGGCCTGGCCCTGCCGCTGCCACCGGCCCCGCTAGCGCTGGATCAGGAAGCGAAGGCAGCTGCGACGCGCCAGCCATGCCATTTGGCGAAGAGGGGGTCTGACTGGGACCTCGAGGACCCAAGCGTTGAGGAGCTGATCAAAGAGCACGGCGTCCAAGCCACCGACCGCGAGAAGGCCGACCGATTGCTGGCAGCCCTTGGAGGGGGCAGCCAAGAGGGCGAGGCGCTGGCGACGTTGCAGGCGCCTTGTCCGCACTGGAAAGAGTCTCCGGGGAATTTCGGGAGCTGGTGGCGCATGCTGCCGGCGCGGCCGCGGCGACGGCGCTCCCGCGCGCGGTCGAAGCCCCCCCAGTCGGGGCCGGCTGCCACGCGAGAGCTCGGAGCGGACGCGCGGCGCGCAGCGCGGCCTCCCCTGAGTGCGAGTCGGGGGGCGCGAAGAGCGGCGCTGGGCAGTCAGCCGAGGCGCATCATGGCGAAGGGGGCGTCGGCGCGGCCGCGCCAGCCGCGAGCCCTCTGCGCGTCGGGGCACCTCTACCCTGTCATCGGCACGGACCCCCTGGAGCGGGCAATCTGCTCCTCGTTCCCCGCCCCCCCCCCCCTCCACGCCCCTTCCCGCGCATGCTCGCCCCCGTCCCCCTCCTGGTCCCCTTCCCGCCCCCAGCGTGGAAAAGATGCTGCGAGCAAACATTCCGACGGCAAGCGCGTCTGCGCATGGGCCCTCATTCGCGCGATCACGCGGGGTCAATTCTGCAGCCGCGGATCGGCGCCTGATCGCTGCCAGAAGACAAAGAAACATTAATGTATCGGTTCGTTCCCAGCGCGTTCGGCATCGCCGTTTCACGCGCGGAGCGTGCCAGGCTTGGCGCGCGCGCGCTTGCCCGGTCGAGCGCGGGATTTGCGCGGGCGCCGCAAGGCGTCGAAACAGTGAAATTGCGCGCGCATTGGAATTTACCCGAGTGGCACGAGGCGCGCATGTTCTAACGTTGGCGCATTGCCGCGCGCGCCCCAGAGGACGCGGTCCAATTGCCCCCGCGGTTCCTGGAGCCCCGCACAGGATTTGCGCGAGCACGTGAAGTCTTCCCGCGCGCCGGGCGAGCGTCCACGAGTAGATCGATGGAACGGTCTGCGCGCAATATCGCAGGGAATAGTGCCCCAAAAGATGGGGGGCACCTTCCCTGAGCAGTGGTTCACGGGCACGGCGTGCTGGAGGCGCGCTTTGCCGGCGCGTTAGCCCTTCGCACGTGGGCAGGCAGGAGGAGTTACAACATGGCGGCGAGGCTGGCGGGGTCCAGGAGAGACGGCCCACCCCATTCGATCGGGGTGCAGGAGTGCTCCGGGGGGGCACTGCCACAAGGGGCCCAGACCTGGCCCTGGAGCTACTGCCTGGACATCGCACCGCGACTGCTCGACTCGACTAGGACATCTCAGCACCGCCGCGCGCCGCATCGTTGTATCTGGCGACGAGCACTGTCACGGCACATGAGAAACGCGTCGTTCTATGTCAGCTGATGGGACGCGTCGGTTCGCCCCCCTGGCCCGCGCAACATGTCGCCGCCAGGCTTCTCGGAGTGGGGCGAGGGGCCAGGGGGCGCTCTGCCGCCCACCGGCGTGGCCGCAGGCGGCGGTCGAGAGGGAGTCTCTGGCGCGCGTTCGGAGGAGTTGTCGTCGCGCGCGAAGTCCTCCGCGCCGACCAAGGACCCCCTGCTGCAGGCGAGCACCCCCGCGCAAGTGAGGTTCCGACTTGAGTTTGCTCTGGGGGCGCCGTCGCACGTGGGGGGCGCGCCCCAGTGGGCGCCCATCTCGGACTGGCCCTGGGGGGTCGGGCTGCCACCCCTGACTGATCCCGGCGAGGCGCGCCCTGCGCGGTGCTGTCGCGCGAAGGCCTTTTTTGACAGAGTTTCGCGACATTGCGGGTGTTCATGATTGCGAGCGGGACGCAGCAACCAGCGCGGGATCTTCCACCTTTGCGGCACACCAGCGTAGAGCCTAAAAAGTGGTTTAGGTTCTATACGGCGGCTTTTCGATATAAGTGGTTTGGCATTGCCGCCAGAGCGCATAGACGTCCGACCCCGCAGCCCTGCGGAGACAGAGTGGCAAGCCGCGTTGCTAGTGTCTGGCCCGATGAAGGCCCGCTAGGCAATTTGTCCGAGTGTTCTAGGCAAGATCTAGTAGAGCTGCTTGCGCTCGGAAATGGAGCTCCGTCGTCGCTGCACACATGCAAGTCGAAGGCGCCGCGATGCCAGGACCCAGGTTGCGGCGCTCAACGGCGGCAGCGATGCTTTTGGGTCAGACAGGGGGCGATTCCAGCCGTCTGAGATGCAAACTGGGGACCAGGAAGCCGCGGCAGCGCCCCCGCAGGCCGGGCAGCCAGGCCCCGGGCCAACGACGTCCACCTGGACGACGCCGCTGTGGGTCAACGAGGTAAGAAGGGGGGCAGCGCCCACATGCCTGGCCTGCAGTCAGGCCAGAAGGCGCCCCTGCGGAGGCTGGCTGAAGCGCGTGCTCGGCGGCGGCCTCGGCGGACAGGCGGCAAAGCCCCCTTCTGGGACCTTTTGAGGACTACCCTCGATGTCCTTCCATTTCCTCTTGAGCGCGGTCGAGGCATCTTTGCGTCGTCGCGCGTCGGCGGGAGACGTTTCTTGAAAACGTCGCGTTGTGAGGATGTGCGTGGCCCGCTCGCGACAGCACAGGCATCGTTCGCAATGCGTTCCAAAGGTTCACCAGGCTGAAATGTCCCCCAGCTTCCAGCCGGCTGCTAGATCGGCCCATCTATTTGTTCGAGCTTCTCTCCGCCGCTGAGACGAGACAGGAGGCCGCTTGCGACGCGCTAAAGGGCATGCTCGGCCAACCCGCGCCCCTGGCGCGCTGCATGGCAGGGGGCGACTTCGTCGCAGTCGGAGCCGACTGGATAGCGGTAGCAGGGTGCAGCTGCGGACTGGCGGTAGCAAAGTTGTTCGCGCGTGCGCTCCTGGCTAAGTTTCAGAAGATGTTTCCAGCTGTTCGGCTTCAGCGCCGCGTCGATGATTTGATTCTCTCGGCCCCCTGGGACGTCCGAGCAGGTCCTCAGTCAGTTTCCGGAGGCCGTGATGGCCCATGTCCACGGTCTCCCGGGAACGCAGCTGCGCGCCAATGTCATCCCAAGTCGATCTGCCTACGCAGCTTTGCGAGCGACAGAGTCCAGGACACGAGGGTTGCCTGGCAGAGGTGCGCTGCTTAGGCACAGGTGCTCTTGGCGGGGCAGCGCGCAGAGTGGGGGAGGGTTTCAGCCAAGGTTCAGCAGTTGTGCGCAGCTGGGGCCAGCGCCAGCACCATTCGGAGGGGGCCCCCCACGGCTGCGGCGATATGGGGCCGCGCTGCCATTGGGCTCGCCGACGCCGCGCTACGCGGCCGCAGCGCCTCAGCGCTGCGAGCGGAGGGCAGGCCCCAGAAGACGCCTCGAACGGGCTCAGACTGCGAGTTTGCCCATGGGGTTCCTTCCAGGGCCCTTGGATTGCGCGCTTGTGAAGTTTCGAAGCGTCCTTCTCTCCCCTCTCGGAGCACCCCGCGCGAGGCCCCGCGCGGGGTTGTTTGGGGGCCGGCAAGGGGCCATTAGGCATTGCGAAGCCATGGGCCCGATGTCTCGGACCTGGACAGGTCACGCGGCTCTGCTTGGCGAGGACAAGCACAAACGTGCCATGTGCTTTGCCTGATCAGTTTTCAGGAGCTGCGTATTCGACGTTTGAACTCACGCTTGGCTTCATCATTGAGAGGCTTCAGGAAGCTGCGCCCATGGCGTCAGATGAATTTGCGCACAGACGGCTACATTCGGGCCCTCTTGGCCTTCCTTTATGCAAGTCGTGCAGCGACGTTCGGGCGCCCCACCGCAAGGCGGCGACGAGGGTTTTGCGGGCGGATCTCACTTTGCCACGAGAGCAACTCTTCAGATACAGCGGAGAGCAGCATGGCAGTCGCCTCCTGTGCTGAGGACCAGGCGCTCTTGACCGCCGCCGCTTCTACAAGCGCCCCTGCATAGAGGGCCATTGCCGTGACGAGCGCCCGCCGCGCACGATGGAAGCTGCGGCGCGCTTGCGCCGCAAGCGCCGAAGTTGCGGACATGTGCTGTGGACGCTTTTTCGTTTCCAGCCAGGTGTTTCTCAGTCTAAGAGGCGCCGCCCTCGGATTAGATCGCCTGGATCGGCGCGCCTGCGGGGCGCAAATGGCCGGGAGAGTTGGCGTGGATGACCGCTCGTTATTCTCTCGCTGCTCGGGGCTCGCCAGGCCCGGGTGGCTCATCGACTCGTCGCAGGGGCTTCTGGAGGACCCCCCTTCCAGCTTCGCGCCCAACAGGGCGCCGAGAGAAGGGTTGGATCGAGCGTTTCAGGGTCGGGGTCTTCGGGGTGGGCCCTGCGTACCCGCCGGTGATCCACCCGCATTGCGCTTGTTCGATCGAATGCGCGGTTGACCTGGGCGCGGCGTTTGACCCCGCGATCGCTAGCGGGCAGATCTGGGCTCGCCGGTGGGAGGGGATTGCCCGCGAAGCAGAAGTTGTCAAGGTTGGCTCTGACAGGGCCAGGTCCTCTGCGGTGAGTTTCGAGGACGACTGGCTCATCCGCGGCAATCAGATCGCCGACCGCTGGGCAGAACAAATGTGCTTCGATGAGGTCGGCACCCCCTCAGCGGCTCGCCTTTGCGGCGCTGGTCGAGCCCATGTCTGGCGATGCGCCGAGGCGGCATGCGAGGGCCCAACAGTTGTTCGTGGACGGGGGGGGGGGGGAGTCGACTCGACAAGAGTCGTCTGGGACCCTCACCATGTGTGTCATTTGAACTCAGTGTGCAGCATCTTCAGGAATTTCAGATAGAGGCGGGCGTGGATGCCACCCTAGGATTGGTCAGTCCTGGAGTCTTGCTTTTTCGAGAATGTGCCAAGGGCGACTCCTGAAGGAGGTAATCTCGCGGATTCAGCCATGTCCCTTGTGCCGCCGTTCGCCCGTGCCGCTGCAAAGTCCGCCGTCGCCGCCCCGGGGGGGTTTGCCCCGGGGGGGTTTGCAGGCTCATGTAGGGCTCAGTGGCCATGGTCGCTGGAGCCACCGTCGTCGTCTCCTTCGAGCCCAAAGTGGAGGCTCAGCCCGATCTGTTGCATGTCCTGCGGGGCCTCCGTGCACAAGCTCGTTCGGTCGAGGGCCTCGCGGTGGCGAGGCGGCCGCGCTGCGGTCGCAGCGCTCGGGGCCTGCGCGGGGGGCTTCGCCCCCCGTCCTGCAGCCAGCGTCGAGGAGGTTCGAGTTAGGACGAACAACTAAAACATATTCAACAATACACCAAACAGGTAAAACAATATTGAGAACATCGTCCCCCGACTATTGTTGCATTATTATTTGATTATGTGTTTGGACATGTTGTTTCATTTTTCGTCGGAAATCCCCCTGTAGGGGGACAGGCCCGAGTTAAGGTTCGAGGCCCCGATGAGGCGACCATCGTCGAGTGGGCGCCCCGCTTCGCCTGCCTCAGCGCAGGCGCGGGGGCGGGGAGGGGGCCAACGGGTTGATGCATCAGTCTGTTTCCGTTCAGACCTGAGAGTGCTACGGCAGCGGCCCGCATGCATGGTTTTAGACCATTATCGGGTGACCTGGGTTTTGCGGCTGGCTAATCGAAGACAAGGGGCGCGGACATTGGTTTTCCTGAAGCACCTGCCCAGAGCAGGGTTGCGTCTCTGCAGAGGAGGAGTCCCTGCCCCATGTAGCCAGCTCCTTTAACACGGCTTCTGTGTCGTTATCCTCCTCCTCCTCCTCGTTCCTCCTCCTCCTCGTCCTCTTCGCTCCTCGCCCCTCCAAATCGTCCCCCTCCTCCTCCTCATCCTCTTCGTGGTCCTCCCTCTCGCTCCTTTTGCTCTTCCTGCTTCTCTCGCTATTCCTCCTTCTCTTCCTCCTCCTCCTCTTCACTGCTCCTCCTCTTCACTCCTCCTCCTCCTCCTCGTCCTCCTCCTCCTTCTCTGTCTCCTCCTTCCCCACCTCCTCCTCCTCCTCCTCCTCCTCCTCCTCCTCATCATCACCATCATCCTTGTCCTCCGCTTCGCTCCTCGTCCCCCCCTTCGTCGTCTCTTCCTCCGCCTCTTCCTCCTTCCCCTCCTCCTCCTCCACCTCCTCCTCTCCCTCCTCCTCCTCGTCATTATGATGTTCTCCCACTCCTTTTACTTTATCAGCAATTCTACCTTGTCGCACGTCGATGCCAGTCGGAATGGCGGACTGGGGCGTTTCGCTTGAGACTTCTGTTCCACGTATGATCCTGAAGGTGAACAAGTATCAACAGCTTCACAGATGAAGGGCGGGTCGTTCCCAAAATGTGGCTACCGCCACAGCGTTGCGCACATCCGGCTTCAAACTTTAAAGAGCTTCACGGGTTTAGGGCGGACCATGATTTTTCATCATGTGTTATCGCCTTTAGCGCCGCGAGAGTTTCTTCTTACAGACTTGCCTGAGTTTCACGGATTGCAGGCGGTTGGTTTTGAAATGTGGTGTTCGCCCCAGCGCCGCACATGTTCGATTCAAAAACTTGCAGAAGCTTCGCGGACTGAGGGCGGCTGGTTTGCGACATACGGCTGCGCGCCTGCGCGCCGCGCGCACCCGTCTCAAACATGATCAGCACTTCCACGGGCTCGCATGGCTGACGTGCGGGTCGGTTCGGGATTGGCAGCCAGTTTGGAACGGTTTATCACGAAGAATTGTGTCAGCGATTTTGTCTGGGTGTTGTCAGCGATGTTGTCTGGATGTTGCCAGCGATGTTGTCTGGATGCCGCCACGACAAAGATTGTCCTGGAACGGTGCAGGGCTGTCAGCGAGGCCGAGCGCTGCGGGCGCGAGGCCTGGGCACCACTCCGTATACCCTCGGCCCCCTCCTCCTTCTCCTCCTCCTCCTCCTCCTCCTCCTCCTCCGCCTCCTCCTCCTCCTTCCTCCTCCTCCTCCTCCTCCTCCTCCTCCTCCTCCTCCTCCTCCTCCTCCTCCTCCTCCTCCTCCTCCTCCTCCCCCGAGGCCGGTGTCTTTTTTGTTCCCGTTCCCCGCGAGGGCGCGGTGCGGACCCGAAGCAGGGACGGCTGCGCGACATCAAGCTTTCGGAACCGCCAAATGGTCTGCCACTTCAGTTAGTTCCGTTTGCGCCACAGCACTACTGATACAGTGGGGGCGCGCATCGAGGAACCGTCTGCTTTTCCTCAGGGTGCCCTTGGTGTCTTCGCTCCTCGCGCTGCGCGGTGACTTCCCGCGGCCGCTGAAGGAGCTGCTGCGCTCGGGGTGCTCCGGGTTTCCCCTCTGGTGTACCTCGCGCGCGGGTTCTCGGGGTTGGGTTTCTTGCGAGGGTTTCTTGCGGCTGCGCCCGCACCGTATTGACACCGAGACACGTGCCAAACACGAAGGCACTCCACGGGCAGCGCCGCGCCTCCGGCGCCGCCTCCAGGGGCGCCGCGCACGCCCGGGAAGAAGGGGTCCACAGCGGCCAGCGCAAGTCCAGGAACTCCGCGCGGGCCTCCCACGGTTTTTGTTGTATCGTCTGTTCCTCCTATTGCTGTGCATTGTGCACGAACGAAATGGGTACAGAAAGAATGGGCACAATGCCCAACAGCAGTTCCTGTTCATTTTGAACAGGACTCGCTGTCCGCGCCGCCGCGGCCTGCCTCCATTTGAGACAGAAGTCCGCCTGCCCAACAGCGGCCGCTGTTGGTTTGGGACAACATTTGTTGTTAGGCATTGTGCCCATCTTTTCCGTGCTCATTTCGGGCGTCCAAATGCATCCTCGGGGGCCTTGGCGTCTTCGCTTGCACCCGACGCGGGCTCGACGCGGATTTGGCGAGGAGCCAGCGCGGACTCGACGCGCGAGCGACATGGATCCGACCTGGGTTCCACACAGGCTCGGGCGCGACAGGACAGACAGACCCCCCGTGCGACGATGATGGGCCGATTTTCCACCACCACCACCACCATAAGTGGGAGGGGGGGAGGAGGTGGAGGATGAGGAGGAGTTGGAGGAAGAAGAGGAGGGGGAGGAGGACACCCTCCCCCCTCCAACTTCTGGTGTCGGTGGTAGAGAACTCGCCTATCACGAGGATCGAGGTTCGAGATTCGAGGATCGAGGGTGCAGGCTCTGGAGCGTCTTCGGCCCTTCTCGTGTGCACGGCGGGGCTCTCCTCGCGAGATTTCTGGCCATTGAGCGCGCACCCCTGGAGACGTCTGGCGGTCGAGCTTTGACGCTTGGGCTCCGGCTCGGTGGGGTCCGATGCGCCGGGGGGACGTCTGCCCAGATTTAAGTCGGGCCTGTCCTTCTACAGGAAGAAAACTATATAAAGTTTAAGAATGGTCAGGGGACGATTTGTTGACGTGAACATGTTGTAACATTTGTGGGGTGGTTTTCATTTTTTCGTCCAAAATCCCCCTGTAGGGGGACATGCCCGACCTAGGCCCAGATGGCCAGACCCCCTCGGGTCGTGAAAGTATCCCGACGGACGATGTTTCTTTGTCCTTTCGGCTTCCGGGGGCCCTTGCCGAGTCTCGAGACTGTGAAGCAGCTGCTCAGAATGTCGGGCCGAACGAAAGGGGGGGACAGGGAAAGGAGGGTAACGAAATCTGCTGCATGCAGCTGGTTTCGGCCCCACCGCAGGGCCCATCCCTCGATACGTGGGCGTCTCCGGGCGCCGGGAGGCGCTGGGAAAATCAGCTACGTGAGCTGATTCTCTACCCTGCCCTTGGCTATCCCCCCCTGTCGTTCCCCTCCCCCCGAGGATGAGCATCCGTTGCGTTTCGATTCGCCCAGGGAACGTTCGGGGGGAGGATTTTCTGATGTCTTCGCTGGTTCTCGCCGGCTTTCCACCAGCAGCGGCGCCTCCCGTCGGAAAAGCAGCTCGGGATGCACAGAACAGCCCCGGGGAAAGGCTCGGGCTTCGGGGGGCCGCGTGGCCTCTCTCAGAGGTCCTTAGCTCCGCGGGTCAAGTTTCGGTTTCTGGACGTTCTCGATCCTGTTGTGGCGCCCTCGTTGCCACGGCTGGATCCGCGTCGACCCTCGTGGGCAGAACGCACCCGAAGAGAGTCGATGTACGCCGCCTACCCAGATCTCCGACGACATGACTTGCTTGAAATTCGGACGTTCTTTGTCGAGTTCAGCCTTTGCGGCTCGTCCTCGGGCCCCGGGCCCCTCCAATTAGGGTACATCCAGGTTGGAGAACGGAGCCCGCGGAAGGGGTCGGGACCTCTGGGGCTGCGGATGGAGCAAAGCATGTCGTCAGATGCCATGGTGCGATCCAATACGATGCCACTCTGTTCGCCGGCTGGGGCTACGAGTTCGATTCAGATTCGGATCGGTTCGGTCCGCCTGGCATCGGCCGAGACTGTTCGGGGCCCGGCGCGGCGGTCCGATCTCGATCCGATTCGGGACGATTCGCCGGCGATCCGATCCGGTTCCGACCAGGTCCGATCTCGCAATGCGATCCAGCTCAGGCCTGCTGGGCAGCGCATCCCCCTGGATGCGGTCGTAGCGGACGTCGAGGGAAGAGGCAACAAGATGTCACGGGATGTGGTCGACGCCGATCTTGGTTATGGCCCATGCAGGCCGTCGCCGATTCGCGAGGATGACATCCATGCAATCACGATGACCAAAATGGACGGGGACCGAGATCGGCATTGACGTTTACGCGTTCAGTTTTAGTCACGGTCATCGTTCCCAGGCATGCGGCGGTATGATGTATTCAATGCGCTGCCCCAGAATTCCTTCTCCCCTTCCCTGGGGGTAGTTACTCGGCCCAGATCCATGTTAGGTGGTCCCGGTTCCCGATGACGGGTCCCCGAGTGCCGAAATCGATGAAAAACTTCCGCATTGAAAAAACATCTCGTCGGAGATTTGGGAGCGCGTTTGCATTCAGATTACGGCATTGACCGCCCCCACAAACACCACCCCGCCCCTCTCTCCTCCACCGCCATTTCAGACAGCGCTGGGCCAAAACGGCGTGCAAGTGAGCCTCGACTTGACTGAAGTGCAGATCTCCTTTCGGGCTTCGCCACGCCCACCCCTCCGTGCAGGCAACCTTGCGGGAGTCTGAAGAAGAATTGCTTGAGCGGGTCTGTATCTTTCTTGGGGGGGCGGAAAGGTACCGATACCGCTACTCTCTTGGCCTCTCCTGGGGTGCGTGGAGATTGGAACGTCGAGGAAAATCCAGCCTTGGCGACGAGAGCTCGCTCTCCAGGATGAGCAGCGGGATCCCCTGAGATCCAACGTGGCGACAAAAATGCATCATCGTAATAAAACAACACGCCCACGACCCCCATCTTTCCTGCGCCATGTTTCGAGCCGGATCGATCTGTGAGGGTCCCGGGGCCCCAAAATTGGGCGGAATCACAGCACCCATTGGCCAGGCCTAGATTCAAGGTAAATCCGTTCCAGAGCGCTCCGGGACGCTCCCCGAGGCGCCCGATACATCCCCCCGACCCGCCGCTTCTCAGAGATCTCTTCATCTCGGTCCGATGCGATGCCTCGACTGTGATTCCGCCTCACCTCAGTGTCGGCATTCTGAGGTCCCCCCCAGGGGCGCGAAGGCAATCGCGTGTCGCGCGCCGCGGCCCCGGCCGGAGGGGCGGCCCGTCGCCGAGGGGATGTTGCGGGGGCGCGAGGGCGCCCCGCTGGGCGCCCCCAGAGGGGGGGGAGGCGAGGCGGGGCGGAGCCCCTCGGGAGGCTCGGCGGGCCTCGGGCTTCAGGGGCCTCCACGGAGCACTGCGAGGGAGGGCTTCCGAGGAGCCCCCGCGCCTTCGGAGCAGGCCTTCCTCCCTCTCCCCTTCCCCCCTGGCTTGGCATCGCTCGGGCGTGTTCATTTTCCTTTCGGCGAGGACCATCGAGGAGCATCCTCGATCATGTTGCGAACAAAACCACGCACGGAACCGGAAAAACACAGGGAATGGACGTCCGAGCGATGGCCAGCTGGGCGCGCCGCCGGATCGTGCATCGCGGGGCGAGAGTGCTGGGAGGTGGGCGACCTGGCATGTCGTTTGGCTCTGCCGGGGTCGGCGCGGGGGCCGGCTGCTGCGGGGATCGAGGGGCTTTCTTCGGACGCCAGGGTGGGCCAGGAGGGCCCTCGAAAAGATATGAACCTGGGTTTATCACGTTCTGGGGTTATTGACCAGGGTTCAGAATGTCTCGCCTGGAACATTAGGAACCTGCGTGTAATCCCTCTGGGAGTATTGACTGGGGTTCGTACTGTTCCCCCAGGAACAGTATAAACCCTGGTTTATATTGTTCTGGGGATATCAACCCAAAAACATATTAACCTGGGTTCATAATGTTCCGGGAATATTCACTGGAGTTTACAGTGTCCCGGGAATAATGAATTCGGTTTTCGTCATTCCGGAATGATAAGTATTACTATTTCCCCCCAACCCCCGGGTTCTTGACCAGGCTTTTCATGTCGGAATACTGACCCCGGCTCATTATCTCCAGGAGATAATAAACGCTGATTCGTAATGTTCCCGGATTATTGACCTTGGGTTCATTTTTTCTGGAATGATTTTGATTGAGCCTGGGGGGCGCCGTTTGGGGGTACGTTCTGGCCTGAAATACATTTTGGTTCATGATGTTGGAATATTCCGGGAAGATACTGATTCGGCCGGCGGGGGGCTGAGCCCGATCCATTCCCAGGACAATAATCCATAGGGTTTCATCTGAAAATAATGAACTTAGGTTTTCATTTTCAGATAATTAACCACGGTCGACGAGGATTTCAAGCCTACCCTCAGGTGGGCTGTGTCTGGCCCAGTCTAGCTCACAAGTGGGTGACAAGTGCCCCAAGTGTTCAGTCGGGCCTGTCCCTCTACAGGAAAAATGTTCAAAAATAGTCAAAGAGTAGTATGGGGACCATGTTTTGATTTGTTTGAGTTGTTTGGGGTTATGTTTTTGGTATTTTTTAATGTTTCTTCAAAATCCCCCTGTAGGGGGGGACACGCCCGACCTAACCCAAGTGGCTTTGGAGGGGCAGATAGCTCCGCTAGGTGTGCCGAGCCCACTTCGCCCGCATCGCTGACAACGCTGAGACACTTAGGGTATTTGCAACCCTAATCTATGTGAGTCTCTGCTGGGTGAAATCATAGCCGGCCTCGGCGCCTACTGAGTCAACCCCTCGATCCCCTGAGCTGCCCCCAGGACCTCCTCCCCCTCCTACTCCTGCTCCTCCTCCTCTGCATCCCGATCCTCCTTCCTATTCTCCCCCTCCTCCCCCTCCTCCTCCTCCTCCTCCTCCTCCCTCCTCCTCCTCCTCCTCCTCCTCCTCCTCCTCCTCCTCCTCCTCCTCCTCCTCCCCTATCCCAGTGACCTCCAGGACGGGTGGACGCCCTACGCCGGCAGGGTCACCAGCCGCGCGGCGTTCGGTGTCTTTGTGGACTTCGGGTGCGAGCGGCCCGGGTTGCTGCCCGCCCGGGGCGGCCAGCGCGGCGGCAGCCCAGGCGCACTGGAGGGCCTCCAGCCCGGCGACGAGGTCAGCAGAGCTCACTTCGACGAGACGTAAGCCCAGACATGATCGCTTCGTGAAAAAGCCAAGACGGGAGGTTTAGGCCAATTTTCGGCCTCGTGGGGCCCTCGCCTGGCCTCGGGACCGTCAAAAAACGATTCAGGATGAAAAACCAGTCCCAGGGAAGGGGTCGGGATTTCCAGGGACCGCGTATTGAACAAATCAGGACGTCGCATGTCTGGGAGAGTGACCCTTCGACGGAGTGACCCTTGGTGCGGGCACAATGGGGTCCCCCGATTGCCGAACACGATGCGGCAGTAGCGTCTTGCGCCCTTGCGTTTGGATCCCCCTCAGCCCCAAGAAGCCGCGCACCAAAGGTCACTCTTACTCAGGCGCACTCTTGCATGTAGTCCACCACTTCGATTCTTCCGCGTCGATGAGATTTCGATGGCCTCCAATTCCGGCTTGATTCGACGTCGGATTCCGATGTGAGTTCTGATGTTTCTCGGTGAAGGCGATTTTATTAGCCTGCCGATTTTCCCGCCGATGCGATGCCTCCCGCCTCGGCTGCCGATGTCCGCCGGTCCGACTCATTTTGATCGCCGATCCGACTTGGTTATCTATTCGATTCTGGGCTCTTCTAGGTCAAGGGGCGAGCATCGAGGAGCAACACGTTGCGTGAACGTAACTCGATAGGCCTCCGAGATGGGGTCGGAGTAGTTGGCGTCGGAGGGTCGGAGCCCGACTTTTTTCTCCGCGCCGACGTCGCCGACGCATCGGTGGTGCATGGGCGGCGCGGCGCGATCCTCCGACCCCATCTACTCGGACTCCATTTGGGAGGCCTCCGATAACTCGGCGGCGAGCGAGGGGGGAAATGAGCAGCGGAAGGCCTTCTCGGAATGCGGCGGGACTTCTCAAACGCCCTCGCGCCTTCTGAGAAGTTGCTTTGGGGTCTTTGGGGGAGGCTTCGATGAGGCCGAGGAAGTTGCGAGCCTTCTGAGAAGGCCTTCTCCTTCTCACTTCCCCCCCTCGCTCACCGCCGAACATACAGTTAAGTCGGGCCTGTCCCTCTACAGGAGGAGTATTCAAAAATAGTCACACAAAATGAAATGGGGACGACCGTTTGACACTGTTTGAGCTTTCGTTGTGCATTTTTGGCGTGTTTTTCTTGTCGTCCAGAAGCCGCCTGTAGGGGGACATGCCCGACCTGAGCATACCGTCGGAGATCTGGGATCGCTCGACTCCCCCGCGAGGTCACCAGTCTGGGCATCTTCGGAGTCTCCGGAGAGCTCGGCCTTCGTGTGCCTGGGGTCGGCGCTTCGTCCCGAGGTGTGCTGCGACGCTCCGGGGGCCCGGTGAGGCCCCCCCCCCAAGCTAGATTGGGCATGGATCCCTCTACAGGAGGTTTGGTCAAAAATAGCAGGAAAATAATCTAGGGACAATTTTCCACTTATTAAAAAAAACACATTTGACAAGTTGAATTTTTCTTCGAAAGTCCGCCGGTAGGAGGACATGCCCGACCTAACCCCAAAGGGCCAACAACGGGAGGAAAAACGTCCGTCGTGATTGTCCACGGCTCGGGGGGGTCTGGGTCTCTTGCGGCTTCCTCACGAGGTCACTGTCTACGTGGCCTCGCGGCAGAGGGACACCGGGAAGATCAACCTGTCCCTGGAGCGCCGGCAATTGCCGCGGCTCCGCTGGGACAGCGTCGTGGCGGACGGCCGCACGCCCTACTGCGGCACCGTCGCCAACGTCACGCCATTCGGCGCCTTCGTCGACCTCGGCACGGAGCTGCAGGGCCTTTGAGGGGCAACGCTAGATGGGGGCATAACTAGTCTTGAGTCGGGCTTGCCCCTCTACAGGGGGGAAACATCCCAAAATCGTAAAAAAATAGTCTGGGGACGATTTTTGGTTATTTTTGACCACTTGAGGGCATTTTGAAGGTATTGTGTTTCACCCACAATCCCTCTGAAGGGGAAAGGCCCGACCTAAAACTAGGCGCATGCGGGGACAGCAGGCTCGAGGTTCGAGGTTCGAGGGGCCTTCTCGTGAGATCGCGGCGGCCTTCCAGCCTCGGGCTGCTCTCCAGCGGTTGCGTCTTGCTCTGAGAGCGCTCCAGTGGGTGCCCGGATCGTCCCGAGCGGCCGCCAGAAACCAGCGCTATGGCCTGAAAACGTCAGGGACTGAGATGGGCTCAGGGGTGAGGCATCGACCCCCCATCGCCCATTCATCGCCGACACGAGCCCGATAGCGTGCCCCTCCCAGGAACGAGCGGTCTCGCTGTCGGGGGCCTATCCCCGATGTATCGGCGCTGTGTCGCCGATTCTTGGTCGACGTTCCCCCCCTGATCTGGTCCCCCCCTGACGTTGCCCCTCAGGCCTGATGCCGCTGAAGACGCTGGAGTCGGCCCAGCTTCCTGTACCCGCCTCGGGGGACGAGGTCACGGTCTACGTCTACGAGAAGCGGCGGGGCTCTGGCAAGCTCATACCGGGCGCTGCCAGAGGTACCCCCTGGCCCTACATGCCCCCAGATCTTCAAGGAGGGCCCTGGCGGCCTTCAGCGCATCCCTCACGAGGCCCAGATGCCCCGATGGGCCCCAAGTTGGAGCGAAGCGCTGGAGGGCACCTTGGGCCAGGACCACTTCTGGCAGCACCCGATCATATGCTCGCTCCTCCCCTCGCCGGTCCTCGAATGAAATAAAGCTGCACAAACTCTGCGAGCGCGTTCCACTACTCGCAAAGCGCCTACTCGCAAGCATCCGACGCAAAGTCTGCCTTCATCCATATGATTTATTTTAGATCCCCCGCGGCGGATCCAGGTCACTTGCGAGCAGTTACTCTGCGAGTAGTAGAGCGCGCTCGTCCACAAGCAGAAACTTTCCGGGCTCCGGGCGGATTTCTGGAATCGCCTCTGGGCCCCCGCTGACGGCGCCTCTGGCGCCACCCCTGGCGCGCTCCGCGCGCCAAGGCCGGAGGCGCAGCGGCGACATCCGAGAAGTCCGCGCGGAGCTCCGAAAGTTTCTACTTCGGTCGGGCCTGTCCCAATGCAGGCGGATCTTGTGTGAAACATTACATATATGCAAACAATACTTTACAATAGCTAGAAGATGCTCAACAAATCGTCCCCTGATTATCTTTTTACTATTTTTCCATATTCCACCTGTAGAGGCACAGGCCCGACTTAAGTTGATATATGTTTTTGCAGCCTTTCTTCATCTATAGGTCACAAGGAGGCGGTGGAAGGACTTCAAGGCCTCGAGGGCGAGCGAATCAAATCATTGACATATAAATCGTCGAGTGTCCGCGCGGAGTCCTTGGATCTCTACGCCGGGCCCGCTAGCGTCGCCGCCGGCGCAGCCCGGGCCCCGCTGGCGGCGCTTCCAGCGCCGCCCCTGGTGCTCTCCGCGCGCCAGGGAGAATTACGTCGGACCTGTCCCTCTACAGGAGAAGTATTCAAAGATGGTAGACAAAATAGTCTGGGGACGATTTGTTGAGCATTTTCGTTATATGTTTGTGAATTTTCCGAGTCTTGATCATTCTTGGCCCAAAAATCCGCCTGTAGGGGGGCATGCCCGACCTAAGGTACACGATGTTTATCCATATCTAGGAAAACCAACAAATCCGTGAACGTAGACTTGCGGAGTTCCGCGTGGACTTCTCGGGTCGTCGCCTGGGCCCCCCTTGCGGCGCCTCCAGCGCCGCCCACGGCGCGCTCCGCGCGCCAGAGAGGGGATCAGGCGCCGATCCAGGCAATTCGCGCGGACCTGAAAAAATGTAGGTTTACATTGTTGCTTCCTCTGATGTCCATTGTATCTTGGAGTCGCGGGCTCCCTTCCAAAGCACCTGAGGCGCAGTGCCCATGGATAAAACCCTTACCCCGGGAGGCTAGATTCCAATCCATGCTGGGCGTTGCAAAGTGGGGGGGTCATAAATGGGGGTGTGGCGAGGGTGGTCCGAAAAGGTACCCACACTGCACCTAAACGAGCCCCCTGGTGCTCCAGAGGGGCCCGAAAGGGGCACGAAAGGGGACCGTTTCTGACCCCCCCATTCAGCCACGCATTCAGCCACGCTCAGCCATGTCCACTAAGGAGCGTTTCTGACCCCTAAGGAGCGTTTCTGACCCCCCATTCAGGAGGAGGAGGAGGAGGAGGAGGAGGAGGAGGAGGAGGAGGAGGAGCGTTTCTGACCCCTACGGAGCGTTTCCATGTCCATTCATCCACGCCCAGCCATTCAGCCGCTTCTGACCCCTAAGGAGCGGTTCTGACCCCCCCATTCAGCCACGCCCAACCGTGTCCACTGCGCCTCGCCCCTTCGGCGCCACCCCCCAGGGAAGTCCAAGACGCCGCGGATCTGGACATCGATCCTGCCCGCAGGAGAGGGGCCCGGCGCCCCGACGATCCAAGACATCCGCGCGCGGACTTCTGAGAGTCTGTGCTCACGGAGCGTCTTCCCTCCTCCTCCTCCTCCTCCTCCTCCTCTTTTACGGAGCGTCTTCTTCTCTTCCAAGGCCGACGGGCAGACTCCGTACCCGGGCGTCGTGCTGTTCGTAGACCCCGCGGTCGGCGCCAACGTCGACATTGGGTGCAACACGACGACGCTGCTGCCCCTGAAGGACAGCGTCTGGGAGGCCAGCGGCACGGTGACCGTCCCGGGAGAGGACTCGGCCTCCGTGGCGAAGCTCCAGCCGGGCGACGCCGTCGAGGCTCAGCGTCGTCGGACCCATCCCCATCCCCACTGGGCCAGGGCACCTCGGCCTACCCTGCCCCGTCAGCCCACCCCATCAGGACGCGTTCTGAGGGCACCCCCTCGCCCACCCCCACGCCCACCCCCACGCCCTCCCAAAAGCCCACGCCCTCGCCCCCACGCCCACGCCCACGCCCACGCCCCCGCCCTCCCCGCCCCCCCCCCGCCCCCTCCCCGCCCACACGCCCCCTCGCCCACGCCAACGCCCACGCCCCCGCCCTTCTGTGGATACCCCGTCGCCCACGCCCTCGCCCTCCGCCCACGCCCGCGCCCACGATCTCGCCCACGCCTTCCTCGCCCCCGGCCCGCGCCCTCGTCCCGCCTCCCCCCCCCCAAGGGGCCTCCCCTCCCTCGCCCGTCCGGCGCTGTGCTGGAGGAGGAAGAGGAGGAGGAGGCGGAGGAGGAGGAGGAGGAGGAGGAGGAGACGCCCGTGCCCGTGCCCGCCATCAGCCCACCCTCCTGGGGCTCGAGTAGGGGATCGACTACAGAATTCGGGTGCCCCAGAATTCTGTTTCCCCGTCGAGTCTGCGAAGCATGCTCCGTGGATCCATGGCGCATGTCACATGTCGCAGGGCCCGACGGGAACATCGAGTCTGGGACAGATGAATCCTGTAGTCGATCCCCTGCTCGCTGGGTGGGGGCGGGCCCCGCGACACGCGGCGACACCGGCAGACGTCCCCACCTCGTCGGGGCTCAAAGAGACGGGGAGGCGGTACTATCGGGGGCCTGTCAGCGTTCCTTCCTCCTCCTCCTCGTCCTCCTCCTCCTCCTCCTCGTCCTCCTCCTCCTCCTCGTCCTCCTCCTCCTCCTCCTCCTCCTCCTCCTCCTCCTCCTCCTCCTCCTCCTCCCCCTCCTCCTCTTTCTCCCCCTCCTCCTACTAGATTCTGGAGGATCCTGCAGAGCCAGGGGCGCACTGACCCGGGCTCGGGTGCAGGTCAGGGACGGCCTGGCCGACCCTGAGCAAACTGTCCCCCTCCGTGACGTCCCCCGCGCCTCGCCCCAAGACGCACGTATGCGGCCGGAGGGGAGCTCGAACGGCGAGGATGGCGTCACGGAAGGGGGTGGTTTGCCAGGGGTCGGTTCGGCCGCGCCCGAGCAGGAACCTGCAGGATCTTGCTGGATCTTGCGGGATCTTGCAGCGCCTGATTGACCCGGGTCCGGATTGACCCGGGTCAGCAGATCCCCGACCCATCTCGGCGGGCAAGTCGGCCAATGGGGCCGAGGCCACGCCAGTGGTGGCAGGGATCGGTTGAGTGATGCTCGGAGGTGTACATCACGCAGGTTTCGACCCACACCGGCAAGGTGACCGTCAGCCTGAACAAGCGGGCGGAGCTCGGCGGCGAGCGAGGGGGGGAAGTGAGAAGGAGAAGGCCTTCTCAGAAGGTTCGGACGTCCCCCGGCCTTCTGAGCAGTTTTCTGGGCCGTCCCCGGAGACAGCTAAAAGTTACCAGAAGGCGCAAAGGCTTCTGAGAAGTCCCGCCGCCTTCTGCAAAGGTCTGCTCCTTCTCTCTTCCCCCCCTTCGCTCGCCGCCGCTGAGCCCCTCTACACCTGGGACGACGTGGTCGCCGACGGGCAGACGCCCTGGCCTGGGGTCGTCACCTCCAAGACGGAGTTCGGGGCCTTCCTGAACTTCGGCTGCGCGTACATGGGCATGCTGCCCGTGAGGGAGTTCGACCCGGCGGCCTGGGCAGCTTTGCAGGTTCGAGGCCGCATAACCCCAGGCCTCCTGGATGGGGTCGGAGTCGATGGGGTCCGAGGATCGCGCCGTATCGGCGGTGCATCAGCGATACGGCTAGATGTGGAGCCCGATTCCTCCTCGCTGAGGAATCGCCGATGCATCGCCGATGTCGCGGCGATGCGGCGCGATCCTCCGACCCTATCCATCTACTCGGATCCCATCTAGGAGGTATCTAGTGATGGGGTATGCGGGGGCAACGAGGGCTGCAGAAAAGAGGCGCGTTAGGGTCCCTAGGGGCCCTCAAACAAATGTGTATCAGAGTGAGGGGGCGAAAGGGTCATTCCTTGTCCCTGGGTGCGTGGCTGACGTGGGGGTCCCTGGTGAGGGTTCTGCGTGTTGCGTTGAATATTCATTTCTAGAGAACAGTTATTGTTGATCTCCGGAGACGGTTCCGGGCGCTCTCGCCTTGACGCCGGCTACATTTTCTCTTGAAATGAGGCTCCCGCTCGAGCGTTAGCTTGACCCTGAAAGTGAGCCCTCGGAGGCCCAGCTACGACAACAACGGCTCCCGCTCGATACTTCCTCACAATTTACCTCGAGGCACCCTGGCCAGAGAGGCCCCCGAACTCGGGAACGGCGCTCTCGCTCGAGACCTCCTCGCAACTCCATCAAGTTGGCGGGGGCCCAGCCACGAAGGCAAGGGCTCCTGCTCGGTACCTCTCCACGATTTACTCCGAGAGCCCCTGGCCAGGAAGGCCCCCGAACTCAGGAACGGCGCTCTCGCTCGAGACCTTCTCCTGATTCAGTCAAGTTGGTGGAGGCCCAAATGCGACGGCAGGGACTTCCGTTCGATAGTTCCTCCAGATGTATTCGCAGAGGCCCGTGCCAGAGAGGCCCCCGAAATCAAGAGTGGCGCTCTCGTTCGAGACGCCCTCGTCATTCAGTCAATTTGGTGTGGGCCAAGCCGCGACGACAAGGGCTCCCGTTCGTTACTTCCTCAAGCTGTACTTCGAGAGCCCGTGGCCCAAGACTGCTATTATTCAGTGGCGGCGCCGGAGGCCCACCTGCGACGACCGGGGCTCCCGCTCGACAACTCCTTGAGTACTCCTACACGACCTGGCCAGAGAGGCCCCCAAACCACAAAGGCCCCAGCACGCTGCTCATTGACGCCTTCGGGCGCAGCCCACAAAAGCTCCAAGCGCGCCCACAGAGGTCCCAGCACGCGGCCCACTGATGCCTTCGCACACAGCCCACAGAGGTCCCGGCGCGCTGCCCATGGAGGCCCCCAACACACAATTCATTGAGGCCGTAGCATGCTGCTCGCAAGCCCTGCGGCAGAGCCCACATAGGCTGCCCACTGAGGTCCCAGCGCGCTACCCCCCGACACAGCCCACAAGAGGCCCCAGCCCTCAGAGGCCCCAAGCGCGCCCACAGAGGCCCCAGCCCACAGAGGCCCCAAGCGCGCCCACAGAGGCCCCCGCGCGCTGCCAACTGAGGCTCTCGACGCAGCCCACAAAGGCCCAAGCCCCCGCACCAAGCGTGCCCACGGAGGCGCCAGCGCGCTGCCCACTGAGGCCACCGTTCCACAGAGGCCCCACGCGCGCCCACAGAGGCCCCAGCCCACAGAGGCCCCAAGCGCCCCCACAGAGGCCCCCGCGCGCTGCCCACTGAGGCCCTTGGGCACAGCCCACAGAGGCCCCAACGGCGCCCGCAGAGGCCCCAAGCGCGCCCACAGAGGTCCCAGCGCGCTGCCCACTGAGGCCCCCCGACACAGCCCACAGAGGCCCCAAGCGCGCCCACATAGGCCCCAGCGCGCTGCCCACAGGCCCCGACTTCCTACAGAGGCCCCAGCCTACAGAGGCGCCAAGCGCGCCGAGGCCCCAAGCGCGCTGCCCACTGAGGCCCTCCGGCACAGCCCACAGAGGCCCCAAGCGCGCCCACAGAGGCCCCATCCCGCAGAGGCCCCAAGCGCGCCCACAGAGGCCCCAAGCTCGCCCGCAGAGGCCCTAATGCGCTGCCCACTGAGGCCCCAGCCCGCAGAGGCCCCAAGCTCCTAAGCGTGCCCACGGAAGCTCCAGCGCGCTGCCCAATGAGGCCTCCCGACAGCACACTGAGGCCCCACGCGCGCCCACCGAAGCCCCAGCCCACAGAGTCGCCCAGCGAGCCCACAGAGGCCCCAGCGCGCTGCCCACCGAGTCCTCCAACACAGCCCTCAGAGGCCCCAAGCGCGCCCACAGAGGCCCCAGCCCACAGAGGCCCCAAGCGCGCCCACAGAGGCCCCCGCGCGCTGCCAACTGAGGCTCTCGACGCAGCCCACAAAGGCCCAAGCCCCCGCACCAAGCGTGCCCACGGAGGCGCCAGCGGCGCCCACAGAGGCCCCAGCCCGCAGAGGCCCCAAGCGCGCCCACAGAGGTCCCAGCGCGCTGCCCACTGAGGCCCCCCGACACAGCCCACAGAGGCCCCAAGCGCGCCCACATAGGCCCCAGCGCGCTGCCCACAGGCCCCGACTTCCTACAGAGGCCCCAGCCTACAGAGGCGCCAAGCGCGCCGAGGCCCCAAGCGCGCTGCCCACTGAGGCCCTCCGGCACAGCCCGCAGAGGCCCTAAGCGCGCCCACAGAGGCCCCCCGACGCAGCCCACAGAGGCCCCATCCCGCAGAGGCCCCAGGCGCGCCCGCAGAGACCCGAGCGCGTTGTTCACTGAGGCCCCCGACGCAGCCCACAGAGAGGCCCCAGCCCACAGAGGCCCGCGCTGCCCGCTGAGGCCCCCCGACACAGCCCACGCCGGCCCCAAGGGCGCCCACATAGGCCCCAGCCCACTGAGGCCCCAAGCGCGCCCACAGAGGCACCCGCGCGCTGGCCACTAAGGCCTTCCGACACAGCCCACAGAGGCCCCAAGCGCGCCCACATAGGCCCCAGCTCGCAGGGCCCCGAGCGCGCCCACAGAGGCCCCGGCGCGCTGCCCACAGAGGCCCCCGACAGCCCACAGAGGCCCCAGCCCACAGAGGCCCCAAGCGCGCCCGCAGAGGTCCCAGCGCGCTGCCCACAGAGGCTCCCCAGCGCAGCCCGCAGAGGCCCCAAGCGCGCCCGCAGAGGCCCCAGCCCGCAGAGGCCCCAGGAATGGCGCTCTCGCATGAGAATTCTTCGCAATTCAATCAAGTTCGCGGATGCCCAGCCGCGACGACAAGGCTCCCTCTCTATATTTTCTCGCGATTCACTCCGGGAGGCCCTGGCCAGAGAGGTTCCCGAACTCAGGAACAGCGCTCTCGCTGGAGACTTCTTGGGAACTCAGTCAAATTAGTGGGGGCGCAGCCGCGATGATAAGGGCTTCCGCTCGAGAGGCCCTTTCTCGTGGTCCATCCTTCTCTTCTCCCATCCGCCCCCCCTTCCCCTGTTTTAGGGGCTGCGCTAAATGTACGTGGCAGGTAAGGAAGATATGCCCCCGAGGGGGTACGGCCGAAGACAAAGAGGGCGGGTATCGAGGGTTTGGGATATACGCGTTGCGTGGCACGCGATCGAATAATAACAAACAGTCTTAAGATTGGTGTTGTTTCTTCTGCTGCTGTTGTTGGTGTTGTTTTGGTGATGTTGTTGCTGTTGTTGCTGAATTCTCATTACTGAAGAAGGATTATTGTTGACCCCCCCCTCCTGTGCACAATGTATTGTTCAATTGAAGTGCCCTTGTTTTTTTTCTCCTGAGGGAAAATATTCGTCCTCAAATTGCGTTGTTGGTTCCTGGTTTACAGCAACAGCGGCTCCCGCTTAAAATTTCCTCACAATTTAGCCAGGACCCCCGCTCCCGCCCCCGCATTTGATTCAGGAATCGCGCTCTCGCTTGGGACTTCCTTACCGTTTATCAGGAATCGCTCTCTCGGCGCTCTGCAGTCGCGCTCTCGCTGGAGACTTGCTTGCAAGTTACTCAAGCGTAGCACCCTTGCGTTGGAATTTGCCACAATTTACTCAAGCGCCGCGCTCCCGACCCTCAGGCACCCAGGAGTCGCGCTCACGCTCAGGACGCCCTCACAGAGAATTTAGACATCGGGATTTAGCTGCCCTTCGTGGCCCCGTTGCAGCCCTTCGTGGCCCCATCACTGCCCTTCGTGGACCTGTTGCAGCCCTTCGTGGCCCCCTCGCTGCCCTTCGTGGCCCCGTTGCAGTCCTTCGTTGCCCCCTCGCTGCCCTTCGTGGCCCCGTTGCAGCCCTTCGTGGCCCCATTGCTTCCTTTCGTGGCCCCGTTGCAGCCCTCCGTGGCCCCCTCGTTGCCCTCCTTGGCCCCGTTGCATCCCTTCGTGGCCCCCTCGCTGCCCTTCGTGGCCCCGTTGCAGCCCTTCGTGGCCCCCTCGCTGCCCTTCGTGACACCGTTGCAGTCCTTCGTGGCCCCCTCGCTGCCCTTCGTGGCCCCGTTGCTGCCCTCCGTGGCCCCCTCGCTGCCCTTGGTGGCCTCATATACGAATGCCCTTCGTGGTCCCCGCTCGTTCGCGCCCGTCATGGCCCCATATGCATGCCCTTCGTGGTTCCGCTGTCGCCCTTCGTGGCCCTCTCGCTGGCCTTCGTGGCCCCGTTGCTGCCCTCCGTGGCCCCGTCCTTGCCTTCCGCGTCCCAATATACGTATACCTTTCGTGGCCCCCATCTCGTTCGCGCCCGTCGTGGCCCCATGTGCATGCCCTGCGTGGTTCCGCTGTCGCCATTTGTGTCCCCCTCACTGTCCTACGTGGCCCAGTTGCAACCCTCAGTGGCCCCGTCGTTGTGTTCTGTGGTCCCGCATTATCTGCCCTTCGTGGTTCCCGCTCGTTCGCGCTCTTCGTGGCCCTATTCGCATTCCCTTCGTGTCCCCGCTGTCGCCCTTCGTGACCTACTTCGTGCCCTTCGTGGCCCTGCTGTCGTTCTCTCTCTCGCTCTCGCTTTCACTCGTCGCCGTCGTCGTCGACGTCGTCGTCGTCGTCTTCGTCGTCGTCGTGGTTGGTCCCCTGTCCGTCCCTCTTGGGGTCGGGTTGCCGCCGATCAGCGCTGCCGCTTGCCAGGC